GCTTCTAGAGCAGCGAAAAATCGAATACTAGCTCAGAGTTCGCCCAAGGTCACCATCACTCCCGGGAAATGCTGGGTGGTGGAATGAGTCCCTCATGATCCATCCTACATTAAATGGCAGGGATAGCGTTACTGCTGTCCATTCTGCTTGTGTTCTGTGCATAGTACTTGATTTTCTTATAAAATTAGGTTGGCTTCTCAACACAAAAAGGAGAGGCATTGAGGGGGAGAGAAGAGAGGGAAAGAGAGACGGCCACATAGTTGAGTATGACACCAGCCTTTTTAGCAAGCTTTTAGAGAATTTAAAAGCAAACAACCCTATAGCCATACCTTATTTTCTAAAAATATTGTCTGTCTCCTTTCCCCATCTCCATAGGTTCTCATACCAAATATCATGGATTCTGAAATAATTTTAAACCAAAGGCCACCTGACATTATGGTGCAGGGGAATTTTGAAGAAATTTAAAATGTCGTTTAGACAGAGAAAAAAAGTGATAACCAGAAGATGTTCTATAACCAATATGTACATGATTCTATGCTATTTAAGTGTTTGGTGTACATTATACATTAAGGCTCATTTACTCTCCATGACGTTAACAAAGTCTTCATCTCACTCCCTTTGTGAACTAGACTGTATTTGATATTTTGAGCAATCAGAGACTGTATCAGCGTGCTAGCGCTGCCAGAACAAAACACCACAGATCATGTGGCTTTAACGACAAAAATGGATTTTCTCACCGTCCTGGAGGCTAAAAGTCCAAGATCAAGGGGTTGGCAGGTTTGGTTTCTCCTGAGGCTTCTCTCTCCTTGGCTTGGAGACAGCCACCTTCCAACTGTGTCCTCACATGTCTGCTCTCTGTACCCATTCATCCTTGTTGTCTCTTTGTTTGCCCAAATTTCCTCTACTTTAGGGACACTACAACCAGTTTGGATGAGTCCATTGGAGAATGGACTTATTTTAACATAATCACCTCTTGAAAGGCCCCATCTCCAGTTACAGTCACATTTTAAGGTGGCTGGGATTTGGGGCTTCAACATACAAATTTTGGGGAACACAATTCAGACCATAACAGAGGCAGAGGCCACTCAAAAGATATCTGTGTGTCATTGTATTCCCTATGATATGAAATTGCCTAAACAATATTTAGCCACCACCCACTTTTAGTCTTGTTTCTAAGGATGGGGGCATGACCCTCTAAGCCATCCTAAGCTATGGGGCTGAGCAGATCTTGCCTTCTCATGAAAAGAGATAGACAGCAGAAGGGCAGGGGAGTCCCTCTGACCAGCTTCTGCCAAGAATTTCTAGACTTCCCTACAAACAGGAAGGGATGTTCTAACTCAGTAGCTACACCATTCAAATATGATGAGAGCCACACAGGTGATTTTAAATTTCCTCTTAGCCAGATTCCAAAGAAGTAGAAAGAAACAGTGAAGTTGAGTTTAATATATTTTATTTAACCAAAGAAATCCAAAGTAGGGTCATTCCAATGTATAATCAACGTAAAGGATTATTAATGAGATATTTTTATTCTTTTTTCACATGAAGTCTTTGAAATCCAGGCTGTGTTTTACTCCTGCAGCCCCTCCCAGTTTGGACTAGCCACATTTCAAGTGCTCAGTAGTCGTATGTGGCTGGTAGCTGCTGTACTGCACATTACAATTCTAATTTTTGATACATTCCCTGGGGCAGAAATTGTCTTGGGCAGTGAAGTTCAATTATAAGCCCCTCCCAATCCAATTACACCTCCACTTATGAAATATTCAAATGACTTTATTTTCTTTAGAATAGCAGGGTGGAATTTCTTCCTATTACGTCTATATACACCTATCACAGAGATCATAAACAGTCTTCAAGCAGGTGATTTGTGCATGCTATTCATTGACCTACAGAGCTGAAATGCATATGTCTTTCAATGAAGGACGCAGAGATAATGAGTATAATGACCCTAGAGTAATTATTGCCTCATATGTCACCTGAAAAAAAAAATTTGCTACATGGCTGTTAGAGGTCCC